TATGATTTCTATAAATATATAAAAATATTTCTATTGTAAAAAGCAACCAAATATATAACAAACTTTGGGTTGATGTTTGGGATCTCAATAATGCTGTCGAGTAGTGTATCACTTGTAATAAGCATATGTGTATTAACGGCGGGATATAGGGTATCAGCCGAACTCAACTATAACGTTCACCTATTTTATTACCCCTGGTATGGAGCGCCGCCAACTTCGCAGACCTATGTGCACTGGCAGGGAGGGTCGCCCGGAGTTATAGAGCACGACCCCACTAAGGGTGACATCACATCCAACTATTGGCCAGTTTTAGGGCCATACGATTCGTGTGATCCCAAAGCCCTGGCACAACATATGGAATGGATCGCCAGCACCGGCGCCGGTACTATCATATCTTCGTGGTGGGGAAAGGGAGGCTTCGAAGACCATTGTGTGACCGTTATTATGGACGCCGCAAATGTTAAGCAAATCAAAGTAGGTTTTCATATCGAGCCATACGGCGGGCGAACGGCTGAGTCGGTGGCGAGTGATGTGCTCTACTTGAACGACAAGTACGGAAGTCATGCCGCCTTTTATAGAGACGTCGCTCATGGGAACCGATCGGCGATCTATATATTCGACTCCCTGGCCATCACTGACTGGTCGGCCGTCGAACCCTTGAAAGACAAGAACATTCTGATGGCACAGACGGGCGATCAGTCGAAGTACCCGCACTTCAGCGGCTTCTATACGTATGCCGTCGGAGACGACGCTAAGGTAGTCGACGGCTGGAAGAGTATGAATGGCTTCTGTAAACAAAAGGGTCTGATTTGGTCCCCGAGTATAGGACCCGGATATATAGATAGGGTGGCCGTCCCTACGAGCAAAGCTACGATCTTTGACCGAAAAAACGGCACAATGTATGACGAGAACTGGAACTTTGTGTTCGACTCAGGAATGCCTAATTGGGTAAGTATTACATCATTCAACGAGTGGCACGAGGGCTCCATGATTGAGCCCACCTCCTCTACACCTCCCTCTGGACCCCATCCCTACATGACATACGAGGGCGCCTATGAAAAGGCGGGAAAGGCTGCTGAGACCTCATATTTAGAGCGTACAACTTATTGGGTCAATGAGTTCACTAAACGTCAACAACAACTCAATTGATTATTAATTATTCACATTTTCTAATTTTGTCTAATTCAATGTAAATAAAAAATAATTTCTATATTTAAATTGTATAAACAGTATTAATATAGAGAATATTTAAACTAAAAAGCAGTTTAGGGCTCGTCCGGGATTTGAACCCGGGACCTCTCGCACCCGAAGCGAGAATCATACCCCTAGACCAACGAGCCTATATAGTATACGACTACAGTACCATTATTTAGGAGCAAGGCTTCAACACTATATAGTTTTTATTTAAAAAATTATATTAAACGATAAAAATGAATTTTTTGTAGATTTATTAATATTAGCAAACATTATAAGTTAGAACTTCTAACATACAGTAAAATTGATGTCTGTATTTGATAAACAGCTATCAAATGGCTTATAATCTAAAGGTTGTTATTTATCTCAAATTAACCTAAAGTTATCTTTAAATTTCAAATGAACCCATAATTTCAATACAAGTTGTTTCAATTATTAATTGACTTTAATTTAAATTTTAGAGTTTAAGCTACACATTTATTTTTTAAAATTTATTTTTAAACCAAATTAATGTATTCATCGATTGACGATTTTGTGTTTTATATAATATTGTTTAGTATAATAGGTTTTGGTTCTTATTATTGGTTATTTAAAGCAAATAAAAAAACAAATAATGATTTAAAGTCCAGTGCCTGTGATGTGCCACCGACTGAGACCATTGCGCCCACAAGTGAATCAAAACCAGGTTTTATAAATGCTATGAAATCACGAGTAAGTGAGTGTAGTATTAAATATCATACAACTTGTATGGCATGTATAAGATGTATGGAATGATAGCAAATTCTTTAGTCTCTATTGACATGATTATTGATTTTGACAAAAATAGGGCCGAAATATAGTGATCTTCTATGGCTCCCAAACCGGAACCGCAGAAGACTTTGCCACCCGATTGGCCAAAGAAGCATCCCTTTATGGTATGAAAGCAATGGTGGCCGACCCCGACAGGTGTCATATGGATGAGCTCTCACAGCTCTATAAGATTGAGAACTCATTGGCCATATTCTGTGTATCGACTTATTGGGAGGGCGACCCCACCGACAACGCTATGGCTTTCTATAATTGGCTCCAATCGGGCAAAACTAGTGTCAGAGGCCTTCGCTATGCTGTGTTTGGTTTGGGGAACAGTACGTATGAATACTTCAATAAAATGGGAAAATATCTGGACTTAAGACTAGAAGAATTGGGTGGTACTCGGGTTCATAAACTAGGGTTGGGAGACACGGCTCATAACATCGACAACTATTTCATGACATGGAAAGATAATTTGTGGACTTCTGTAGCCAAACAATTCAATTTAAAAACACTAACAAATTTCTCAAGTCGACAGTTCAGACTTATTCAGCATAAAGAGATTCCTCGTGAGGGGGTGTTTACTGGAGAAGTATTAACACTTAACTCATTGGTCGACCAAAAACCCCCGTTTAATCAAAAGAACCCATTCTTGGCTCCCATTCTAGTAAATAGAGAGCTGTATAAAGGTTTGCGTTCATGTCTTCACATAGAGTTAGATCTAATGGGATCACAGTTAAGGTATGCTTTCTTAAGAGAATTTTCATATAATTTATTTTGTAGTTATAATTGATAATAATATACTTTCAATAAATTTGTATATAGTTATGAAGCGGGCGATTATGTGGCCGTCTATCAAAAGAACGACAAGCATTTGGTCCAAAGGATTGGACAATTGCTGGCAACAGATTTAGATCAAGTGATTAGTTTGGAGAACTTAGATGAGGACAGCTTCAAGAGGCATCCCTTTCCCTGTCCCACCTCTTATAGGGATGCACTGCTCTTCTATACCGACATATCCAGTGCTCCCAAACCACATGTCCTGAGAGAACTGTCCGAATATACTGATAATGAAGAGCATAAGAAGTTCCTCGAGTGTATAAGTTCGTCGACCGAAGAAGGGAAACAAGTTTACAACGAATGGATTGTTGAGAAGTTGAGGAATATTGTCGATGTATTAGAAGACATGCCATCAGTGAAGCCTCGTTTGGATCATTTGCTCGAAATATTGCCCCGACTTTTGCCCCGTTTCTACACCATCTGCTCCTCTTCTAAAGTATACCCCAATAGTGTTCACTTGACAGCAGTGGTGGTCAAGAAGAGCACCGGTAGAGTGAATAAAGGTGTGGCCACTAATCTGTTGGCAAGCAAACAATGTGAACAAAGTGGTGACAAAGTGTCGGTCCCTATATTCATACGTCGCTCACAGTTTCGATTGCCTGTGAATCCTTCGACCCCTGTCATTATGATAGGTCCGGGAACTGGTTTGGCGCCATTCCGGGGCTTCCTTCAGGAGAGATGGTATCACATGCAAAACCAGACACCCATCGGACCCACTGTTCTGTACTTCGGCTGCAGAAATCAATCGGATGACTATCTCTATGAGGAAGAGCTGAGAGGATATGTTATGGACAACACTCTCACCAAACTATACACCGCTTTCTCACGCGATGGCAGCGATAAGGTATACGTTACTCATCTGTTGAGACAACACATGCCAGAGATATGGCGTCTCATTGGACCACTCAATGGACACGTCTATGTCAGCGGATACGCGTCCACAATGGCCCGGGAGGTCAAGGATATTCTGGTCGACACTTTTGTCGCAGAAGGCAATCAGTCTCCAGAAGAAGCGCACAATTACCTCAAGACAATGGAGTCTCAGCGCAGATATCTGTCAGATGTGTGGAGTTAACCACATATACGGGTTCACCTCATCTAAAGGTATCGCCAATCAATACAATGTATGCATTTGTCCAAAGTTTATTGCGAAGTTAAATAAACCAACATTTCGTAAAACAGTTTGTCAAACACAATCAATACGTATTATATGAATCAATCAAACTATTAGACGTAATCATAGCAATTGGCTAACAGTATCAATAGTGAACGACGGTGAAGAGGGCAGATCAGTAATACGCCTATGCCCGCCCGCCCGCGCCCAATACGCCCGGAATGCCCAAAATAATGGTAGGAGCTAAGCCCTTCTCTCATATATTACGTCATGTAATAAGGGGTGAAAAGGGGGACAATTATTATTATATCATGCACATATGGTACATTGGGCGCGACTTTGCCAGACATTTTGTTAAATCTAGTAAAATACAGAATATTTTGTGATGGTTTTTTAATTAGATGTTAATAGTATAGATAAATGTTTTTTAAAAGACTAAATATTAATTTAACTTATAATTAATTAATTAAGTTATAATGTTAAAAACGGCGGGCGGAAGCGTCTTGAATACGCCGGGCATGCCCTGGGCACGCGCCCAGTACGTCTTGGCAAGCGCGAGCGCGTGTCGTTCTCTAAATATGAATAAAAAACCGACAAAACTCTAAACCCCATTCACACTACTAGTACACAATTATCAGTTTATTTGCCCCCAATGTCTATTGGGCTATGGATTGGGCATTGAGTTGATGTTTGGTCACTCCCCCCACTCACACATATGTAACGTCTTATTGTACGACTCATTAGCAAAACAACACACTTTCGCATTGACTGTGAAGGGAATGAATGACTGATTGAATGAATGCTTTGTAAATGTGTTTTGAATTGTGAATTGATTTTGTGGTCAATTGAATGCAAATGCAATTGATTTGATTGCAGTGATCGACACTCCCATTGACCACAACTACCACTCATTGATAGCATCATTGGTGTGACATTCAAGTGATTTAGGGCTCAAATGAATCACTGGTTTGTGGTGTTTGTCGGCGTATGTGTGGTGTGTGTGACGAGGGGTGGACTGCCGTCGGACGTGCCCTCAGACCTGTCAGACCCGCCCGACGTGTCAGATGGCGGTGCTGTGGATGCTGTGGACGAGTCGGTCACCACCGATGAGCACGACATGGATGGCAGTGATGTGTCGCCTGTGGACCAGTCCATCCTCTACTCGACGCCAAACATCGATAACTACTATATCTATGAACACTTCGACGACTCGGAGGACTTCCACAACCGATGGATCCGATCGGAGACCAGTAAATCGGATTCACAGGACTTGCTCTACGATGGCGAGTGGGCCCTCACGCCCACCACCGCCGCCCTCAAAGGTCTGTCATTTGTCACATTTGTGTCCATTCACTGATCATTGAGTCTATTGTTACTGTTATTGATATTACGGTTATTGTCGATACAGTGAGTGTTTCATTGAATGTTTCATTGAATGTGAGAAATAGTCATTTAATGTGTAATTAAAAGGCGATTGCGGCTGTAGTCATATAGTCATATGCAGACATCTATTTTTGTATGTGTTTTGGCAAACATTCAAAATTGAATTGTATTTTTGTCTAAATGATACACTTTTGTACAGTAAGTGTAGTCTAATAGATGGTAATATAATATAGTGTTTGCTATTATTTGATACACTCTTTAGTAAACAATTACTTTCAATGAATAACTCTTTTACCCAACATTTTTAGCTCATTTTGATCCCATTCTTCAAATGTCATAAAGTTTAGACTTACCGTACTTTTATTGATCCCCATTTCAGCTCTCTCTCTCTCCCTCTCTCTCTCCCTCTCTCTCTCTCCCTCT